CGGGATCCACCATCAAACACTGTGTGCGACAGTGGAAGTGTCGTCACTGTACAGTAAACACAATAATCTTTGTTAACCTCTTGTCTTGACCTCACACATGACAGAGGGTGAAGCATATTGCCCTGCAGGGGCACATGAAGATCCCCAAAGAACTTCCAGCACTGAAAGGGCATGGGGAGCCCTGATCAATTGTTGACTCGCTAACAAAGGGTTAACGTCAGGCTGAGTCCCTTGTGTACTTTTGTTGCTTCGGTGCCACACCTTCTGCTACCGCATGGGAGCTACAGGCTATGGGGCCCATCATCTGGCTTCCTTCACTGGCTAATGGAGCTGTCACATATGGCCCGATGTCAAGAGCCTAACAAGACACTCATTGGTGAACTCAGAGACGATCCACTCATATGGCCAGAGGGTGCTGTGATGCTTCTGTGAATCGGAGTAAGTTGCACGGCAGACAAAGGTGACAGTGACACGAAGCAGAACGTGAACAGTCCAACGGGGTGGAGGGGCGGTCGGTAATTGATCCTAATCATAAACTATATCGACAATAAAACATCCTACCTTGCGTTTGATAACAAGTATGGTGACAGTGCAGCCTTACCAATTTGAACACGAGTCCGATTAATTCACGTAACCTTTTATTGTAGTTTAGTTTATTGTTCTTTTCCCATGTTTTCTTCTCAACATCCATGGTCGAGAGAGGCTTGTCCGCATTTTGGAATAAGCAGCCCAAAGCCAAAGGAAAAGCAAGTCACCCTCTGAGATTTCTGTGGGACTTCAAAGCAAAGCAACATGACTCAGAAATCAACGAATATGCAAGCAGCGCTGTGTACTGGAAAATGAAATCCCAGCATGAAACTACTGCATGTCATAAAAGTGTTACTTTAATTGAAATGTCTATGTTGTCTGCAAATGTTTATTACATCTAATAGCAAACACTCAAGAACAGTGCTGTATTGATTCAGGGAATCCTGACACGAAAAATTGATATCTCAATTTGGCAAGACGTTAGTAAATTAAAAATATTTCCACTTTGAAATGCGCCACGTGGGAATTCCATGAAGCATGCCCCAAATACCCAAATACTAGAAAAATGCACAGACCCTTTTTTGTTAACCCAATCTCACATAATGTTCACCAAACTGGCCACTGAAGACAGCTTTTTGCCACTCAATGCGTGGCAACTAGTGTGAATGGTGTGCTGTTACTTTGGCCTTGTGAGAAATAATATGTTAAAGCAAATAGCAGGAGACCGGCTGAGTGCATTCAGCCTCGCCGTTGAAGACGGATCAGACATGTATCTGAATCTATCAAGACTCAGTCAGCCCTCGCATCATCATATCTATGGAGCCACCCCAACTAGCATTAATATTCAAGCATAGAGAGTCTTCTTAGCCGCCATTGCTCCTCGTCATCACAGCTTCCCCGGTGAAATAGGGCTCCCCAGGGACTCGTGGCTCAACGCCACAGACTTTGTGGGCACCCATTTATCCTCGCTGATCGAGATCACTAAACTGCTGAATAAACAGCCCATTCAGTCATTTGCATATATTACGGGAATGGAAAGATAAAAATGTATCACTAAAGCCAAATGAAGTGCTTCCACTGACCTCCGCTTGATTCTTTTTGCTTCAGTCTTTCCATTTTTTTTTAAACACAATACGGTCAAGACCTAACTCAATTTGATAAGTTAAGAAAGTTCACTTTCAAAATACACACACACACACACACACACACACACACACACACACACGTACAATTATGATGCAATCCACCCCAATTGCAATATGATATGTATTTATCCAAATATGAAGTAAAAGGATAGCGTATGCTCCAATTATGATCATCCAATTAAAATGATTCAATCCAATTATGATACAAAGTATATGATAAAGTTCCAAGAATCCTTTTTAGAACTGTACAAAATGTGTGTGCTATCTTTTATTTTTTTGTGAACATGCCAGTCATTTAAATGTGGCCTATTAGAAATTGAGACGCAACCCGATGAAAATATTGTTATGCAATGCTTTGTATTTGTAAGTAATCGGAATATGGAACACTGCATTAACAAAACATTTGAAAAAAAAAAAGCTTTTAAGTGATACATTCCAATGACACAGTATCTTGAGTGACAGCTTTTGAAATCGAGCCGTTTCATCCTTAAGGCAATGCTCCAAGACACGCATTTCGAGATCCATGACTCAGCCTTTCAATTTGAACATCCGTGCAAACGGAACAAAATGTCTTCATATTCATCTTAACAACAAAACCTTACGAGACTGCTTTGTTAGAAAATTGCAAACAATTGGTCCTGCATCATTCCCCTACAGATGTAAGTTATTGTCTTGAATGGCAGTCTCTACAGACATGCGAGCATACCAACAAATTATAAGGAAGAATAAACCTGCATTTTTTTTTCTCCCCCCAACAGCATAAACGACACAGCAACAAATTCACAACATTCAGTAGAAAGAAAAAGCAGATTCGTTTCAGCTCAAGTGATAATTGCATGCTTGCTTTTCTGTTGTTTTTATACACAGGTGATAATATGTAAATGACGCACTCCAGGGAGCTAAGTGAGAAAACAGGCATGCACTTTCATCTCTTGACTCCAGTCTCGCGTGCCAATTTGTCAGGATTGCAACAAAATAACACAATAAGAACCGCTATTAAACTACAATCGAATGCCTCAGAAGACATACGGTTTGGAATTCGGGCCAACATTTGGAAGCGAGGCAATTTCTTACTGGCAATCACAGCCCAAGTCATCCACGGAAGGTTGGGAAAGAATCGAAGGGAAAGCGGATGGACTCTTTTAGGTCACGACCAGACAACCTCTCGCCATCACTCTCGAGGGAGCAACTTCAGACAGTGAGGGACAGCCGTGCTGCAGTACATCTACACTTCTCGGGTTCCTCTCAATCAAACCTTCAGTTCTCCAACGAGAGCCACAGAATCAATACCAACATCAAGGATGCAGGAATGCTTTCCCACCTGCCTGCTGCACTCCACGCAGATCACCGCGAGGGAGGAAGTGGATCTTTTTCTCAGTGCTTTTAATTGCATAAATAATTATTTGAGCCAAGCCCTAAGTGTATATACACAAGTACTCACCAATTCACCATTTGGCACGCCACTGAGATGCTGGCAATGGAGGTCAGACACTTTCTGGGCGGCGCTCTGTTGAATTCAGTGATGCATTTTATTTTTTATTTGACATTTCCCATATGCAAGGTGTCCTGGAAAACGTGAAATCTTTTTAAATATGACTATCAAAATAACCACATATCCTAGCCAAGTACAATCAACAGGCTTCTTATTGAAAAATAAAATATTTACTTTGCTAAATTCCAACAAGACATTCAAATGGATAGAGACTTTATAACCTTTGCTGTTGGAACTGGAATGTTGTCAGAATTGTGGTTATAAAATCCATAATGATGAAAGCAAGTCACAGAAATGTAAAAAAAAATAATTGAGAATCGCTAGCTGTGTTCAAAAACAGGTTCAAAAGTCAAGTGCAAAAAAATTATATAAATCAGTGCTCAGTTGGTAAATTGATTAAAGGCTGCAATTTTTAACATGTTAGATTGAGTATAATGAAAGTGATTATCGATTATTAGTGTGAGAGTACAGTCATATAGACATGTGCCAGAGTGTGTGCTTACGTAGTTTCTGCACAAAGCGTATGTTGTCGCCATACAGCACGGATAAGTGAAAACGCATTTGTATACTCGAGTAGACTTACATGTTGACTGTTTTCCTCTTCTTTTCATTTTGAGAAATACTACATGAATGATCTAATTTCGTATTAATCATAATCTGAGATAATTTGACTGATAAATGGCCATATTATTACACTACAATGTCCTGTGATTGGCTGGCAACCAGTCCAGGATGTACCCTGCCTTTCACCCAAAGTCAGCTGGGATAGGTTCCAGCTCACCTATGACCCAAGTGAAGATAAACCAGATACAAAGTGGATGGATGGATTGATGAGATCCCAAAAATGTTTTTTTTTTTTTTTGGTACTCCTAATGTGGTTGTCTACCTAGCCAGATGACTGTTTTGGAAATCAACAAGGATATAAGTGTGTGCTCCAGGGCATTAGCTGTAAAATAATGCTACGCAGTTCTTAACTCGTCAACATAAACACTCACATTATGTGACTAACCAGAGGCTACTAACAAGCAAATGAGGTTAGCTTTTTTCCTTTGAAAAGGCAAAAAACATTTGCTTTTTAGTTCTTGGTTGACTAAGCAACAGTATTGAAGTGACTAAGGTGGCAACAAGGTGAATTGGGAAACTTGCAACTAGATCAATACTTAGCAAGTGATGCTTCCAAGTAAGTGATCCTTCCAATACAGTACATCTATCCATTTATCGTCCACATGTCAATTTCCTGCCTCTTATTTCCCGGCTATAGCCTGACGTGGAGACAGACAACTCAACTTCACACATCCTAAGCTGGCTGTATGAAAGTCAGTCCAGTGAACTGCTGCACTTATCAATGGCCAAAAATGAATTCCGTTGAAGTAAAGCTTATTCAAGATGAGGCTAATTCTATTGTGGTGGAGATATTGAAAGAGGACAGGTGCCATGAGAGAAGGCGGTCATGCGGCCGGGTCAGAAGATGAAATCAGGGAGGGGAGATAGATAAGTTGGTGTGAGGGTCTGGAGCCACCATTAAAGAGTCCCCCGGGGGGACAGCCAGCCATGGCAGACTGCAGTAAAAATAGCTGCAGGCATGATTTCACTCGAGGGAACCGGGGAAGAAGTGAGGAGGGTGATCCGATCAACATCTCACAGCAAGGCAGCCAGATCCATTCGCTTATGGTCCCCGGGGTGCCACCTATCACACCAAGTGACTTTAAGTGCTTACCGGCGAGGACACAAACACAGCATGCCTTGGCGGCTCCAATGCATAGCGTGACCTCATATTCTACACGCCGTGCATCTCTATAAGGACGCAAACTGTAATGGCAACAGAAAAAGGATATCGACATTTTTTCCACAAACTTATCCTGCGGGTCGTCACTTTTAGGGAAGTTCTCAATGTCGTTTTCCAGCCTCACGATGTGACGCTCCATGGTGGTCAGACTGCTTTTGAGGATTTCTGCAGAGACTGTGGAGAAAAATATGAAAATATCATTCATAAGTTCATGTTTCCAGCACCAGAAGTGGCACAAACACGCTGTTTTGACTCCAGCGTTATCCATTTCAGGCCTAACAAGTCATGCATAAGGAGTGTGTGTACAGTATAAGTGTGTTTGTGTGTAGTGTGGCTCATTAATCAGTCTGTAATCACTGTTTGCCGCGTTGCTGCAGATTTCACAGTATTCAGATCCGCCTTTTCAAGTAGACACTTCAAACAGCGAGTCTTAAGGGATCAGATGGGACTCAAGCATGAATGCACAGCCGTGTTTAGGTTGATGTTAAAGGGTTTAGGCTCATCGACACACACACACACACACGCGCACACACACACGCACGCACGCACGCACGCACGCACGCACGCACACACACACACACACACACACACAAACGCTGTACAAAAGTGGTCTCACTGGCTGCCAGATAAGCTGAAGTAATAACAGTGCCATCTCAGCTAATTTTAGCCTCTGTATTGAATGTGCCGCCCCTGGAATTCATGGCAACATTTCTGGATGGGCTTTGCTGGATCTACCGCGTCTTGTTTTCTTATTCTCTTACTTTCAATTTCCTCTTCTTTCTCTCTCTTTCCCATGTTGTTCATTCCCTTACTCCTTCATAATCCTCCATCTTTTCATCCAGGACTAACTCCATACCTATAGCCGGTTGTGGATCCAACACTGCCATCTTTTCTTCATCATCTTTGTGAAAATAGAGCTATATAAAATTTTGGGGCGGCCCGGTGAACCAGTGGTTACCACGTCGACCTCACATTGCAGAGGTCGTGGGTTCGATCCCGGCAGTGGCCTTCCTGTGTGAAGTTTGCATGTTCTGCCCATGCCTGCGTGGATTTTCTCCGGGTACTTCGGTTTCCTCCCACATTCCAAAAACATGCATCGCAGGCTGATTGAACACTCTAAATTGTCCCGAGGTGTGATTGTGGGGGTACACAGGCACACCCTCCTGGAGTTAAAACGTGGGAGTCATTAAAGTAAGCACATTTAGTCACTGAAAAATACGTGGCCGAGGACACAACTAAAATAGTTTTTTTAATGTGTGTCAAATTCAACGGAATTGGAGCTAGAAATAATCTTCATTTGCCTTCATGATGCACTTTCATCGATGCAGTAGTCAACATTATAGTAGACAAAAAGCAGAAACTTTGTATTTCCATCAGATCACTTTTGATATTCCATGACAATATGTACTTACTTCTCAATACATAGATACAAACTAGTAAATTAGGTCCACTTTTGATTTGACAAAGTATGCTCCGTGAATTATCCAGAATATAATGTATGAAATAATGTATACATAATTGATGGCAATAAAAGTAATATTTTCAATGAAGGTGGCCATTTTTAGCATGTAACAAATTTGAAGTTTAATAAACAAAAAATAATGTAAATGTATACCTCTGGGAAAAAAAAAAAGCATAAAAATAACTAGACATTTTTTTTACTTCATCATTGACTGGCTCATGTTCAATGATGCATGTGTAAAACACATAGCCAACTCATAATTATAACTACTTATAACAATAATAATAATGACTGTAGCACTGTATCATCCAAATGTAGCCTCAACTCAAATAAATCCTCCGCCATTCCCCCACCCTCTGAAACCCCCCACCAGCCCCCCCCCCAAAAAAAAACATCACTATGCATTTTAAGATACTGATAAGTGTCACAATGTAACTGTATGAAAATATATCAAGTGATTAAACATGTATATGATCCAACAAAATATAACCAATTTTATTGTAAAGTGATTGAATTAGGGCGGCCCGGTAGTCCAGTGGTTAGCACGTCGACTTCACGGTGCAGAGGTACCGGGTTCAATTCCAGCTCCGGCCTCCCTGTGTGGAGTTTGCATGTTCTCCCCGGGCCTGCGTGGGTTTTCTCCGGGTACTCCGGTTTCCTCCCACATTCCAAAAACATGCATGGTAGGCTGATTGAACACTCTGGATTGTCCCTAGGTGTGAATGTGAGCGTGGATGGTTGTTTGTCTCTGTGTGCCCTGTGATTGGCTGGCAACCGATTCAGGGTGTCCCCCGCCTACTGCGCGAAGACAGCTGGGATGGGCTCCAGCACCCCCCGCGACCCGAGTGAGGATCAAGCGGTTCGGAAGATGAATGAATGAATGAATGATTGAATTAAGTGTACGTTAATTATGCATTTGTGAACGATGACGAGATATGCAAGTGAAATGCAATATTATGATTTTGTCATTTTAATACAAGCAACCGATCTACTCAATAACTTCCGACAAATGACTGATCATGTCACTTTCAATTCTACTAAGCTGTACTTTTATTAAATTACGTTCGATAAAATATTTGATCTCAACCTAATGTGTTTTGCAATGAGAGTGTCCCGTTATTCATGTGGCTTGCAACCGAACAGTAAAACTGAGTGTCGATAAGGCGGATCACTCGATAAGTTATGTTACTTAACCTGCCCCCACCCCCGAAGCATCTGCAAGGTTAGCCCACCCACTCCACTGTAATTGAAGTGGGAGAGGAGAAATAAGATGGGCTGACAAGCACAGTGGCCTCAGTCACACAAGGGTCAACCTTGTCCTGCTGTACATCAATTCCGCAGCTTGGATGCACTCCTGTTCTCATCTTCCCACGATAAAATTGAATGGCAGCAGTGGCTCACATGCGCACCAGCCCAGCCTTCAGCATAACCACGGATGCTACCTCGAGTGGACGGCCATTTGAGCACACACTTAACACACACGCACACGCACATGCATGGTAACAGCATCACTATGATGGGTTCAGTGGTGCTGTAGCAATACAATAAAGCAAAGGGTGGAGGTTACTGGTGTTATTAGACTCTGCAGCTGGTGGTCAGGCTGCAAGCAGTGACATGGGAGTTCCAGAACGCTGTCCTATTAACTGCGATGATATTTGCTGGTAGAAAGCAGTATCATGCTATATTGTTGCTGTTGTTGTTGTGTTCTCATCAGGATTGTTTATTCATGTAATTCTGCAGAATCTAAATCATCGTTGTAATTTGGAGACTTGATAGGTATTCTACTAGCACGGACTGCCTGTGCGTCTGACTAGCACAAAATCTGCTACTCACTTCTATCATGACAGCATCCATCCATCCATCCATTTTCCGATCCGTTTATCCTCACAAGGGTCGCGGATGGTGCTGGAGCCTATCCCAGCCGTCTTTGGGCAGTTGGCGGGGACACCCTGAACCGGTTGCCAGCCAATTACAGATCATGACAGCAAACCCGGAAATTATTCAAGGACCTATGCTGTCTGTCAGACTTTTTGGTTGAAAGGTGCCATCTTATTTTCTTATGGTGTGGAGAGGGGGGCTTCATTACAGTACCTCAATTAACCATCCATCAATCCATCCATTTTCTAATCCGCCTCATCCTCCCAAGGGTCGCGGGCATGCTGGAGCCTATCCCGACTGTCTTTGCTGCAGTAGGCCGGGTCATCTCAATTAACCCTCCTTGGAAATTCAGTTTATCACCACCAAAACCAGGTTATACCCTACCTCTAGTTTGTTAGTTAGTACTGTTAACACAACTTTACCAGTGGCAAGTAAACTTTGTAACAACTTGCAGAAAGGATCATGGGTGAAACTGTGAAATTTGCAGGTCAAGGTAATGCTTTCACTTCATTGGCATTGCACTTATCAATATTTCTCACGCACCAAAATATACTACATAGTAGTCACATGCAAGGATAAAAGTGGCAATTTGGTGCTCCCGTTTTTGCAAAATGGTGACAAAACTTGGACATTAACCACTGATTTAAGTTGGCAACTGGACTCATTTGATGCGATGTTTCTGAGGAAATCATTTCATGGTGATGAGGGGGATGACTTTTGTCAAAGAGTTGGGTTGCCCGACAGACCAAAGTGGGGCTTGGGGCTTATCTGATTCATTTTTGCAAAATACAAGACTGTAAACATGAGGAACAAACCAACATGTATGTGCCTCTATGCTAGGTAACATGATGGGTAAATTGTGCACCGGAAAGCACCCACGGAACACCTGGATAAAACATTTTGACAGAAATGGCAGCAGCGCCAGAACTACCTGGGGAAACGCTCCCAAATGTTTCGGCACATGGCCGCTGCAGTGGAAGTGCTCCTGATGCAAACTTTCTCAGATCTCACACAAGGCATCTGAAAGACATCCATCTGTCCTTGTTCAATAGCATGTGTCGTCATTAGTGCCGCAAGTTAGCAGCAGCCTATCCCAGCTGACGTTTTTTGTTTTGTTTTGTTTTTTTTTTTTTGGGGGGGGGGTGTTGCAGCGTATGCCCTGCACTGGTCACCAGCCAATCACAGAGCACATGTGTATCACGAAGAACCCACGCTCACATTCACTCCTCTGGACAATTAGGAGTTTTTCATTACCTATCATGTATATTATGTTGTGTGGGAGATAGCCAGAGTACCCAGTGAAACTGAGACCCCTCGGCTGTGAGGCAGCCAAGCGAACCACACCTAAAAATCAACATTCTTACATTTATAGGAAGTGGGTGTAAGGAGCCTCTTTCCCACATATATCTTGGGGAAAATAAAGTATGATATTGCCAATACTGACTGCACTTTCACACAGTGAAACAGGTAATCATATGAATTGGTGGCTAACAATGTCAGGTCATGCTTTCAAACATAGCAGGTAAGGATAAAGTGTGAAACTTCACACCCCTCCCCTGTCTTTTCACATAAGCACCATCCTGCCCATTCTGCCCTGATTAATGCTTTGATACCATATCTAAAGCCTGACAAGTCCCAGCTCGAATTTCATCTCTCAATTTCAGGTTGGTGCTCACAGGGAAAAAAAGACTGCCTCTTTTTAACGGGCAATAAAGAGAGGCAGGTCAAGGTGCATGGGCGAGTGTCAAGCCATTTTTATGGCCGACGGAATGCAAAAAGATCTTTTTTTAAGATTTTTTTAAGTCAGCTAATTTTTTTGCTTCGGAAATACAGA